ACGCAAAGATAGCTACAATCCTAAATTGATTGTGCTATAGCAACTGAGCCAAACAGTATGCGCTTTTTTCAGTCCAGAATTTGAAGGCAAACAATGCTAATACATATAACGTGGTTGTTCAACCCCCCCCCCCCATCTCATTGAGGGATGCAAATCTTATAACGTCACTCAGATTACTTGTTCCTTCGTAAAGCCGATCACTGATGCTCGATGGGTGGGTGCTACTAGTCTCAATGTCCCACTGGCAACTTTTTGCCCCAATAATTGAAAAAAAAACGTGGGTAACGAATTGGATAGGTGGGCTGCACTTCACTTGTGTAGAATGGATGTCATTACGTTGACCAAGCATAACGACACACGTACGAACAAGTGCAGTGTCGTTTCAAAGTATAAACACTAATTGAAATGTAGGTCCTCAGCTGCAAACTGCAGTGCAAGCCTAAGACAGCTCGGATATCGCTCCCTACAAAATCTATTTTGCATGCGTGGGCAGCTAACGAACTTGTTAATGTTAATCCCCTTTCAGAATATGAGAAAATTCTACAGAGGCAATATAAAAAGTACTTTTAAGCTGTAACTGCTGCAACTGAATTCTAAAAATGTTAGGTTCAAAGTGTACCTTTTACAAGCCTATGAAATATGGTACCATCGTAGTACTTTTCCATGCAAAGTTGAATAAAATTCCGGCACGCAAGAGGGCATTCTTTTGTCCACAGCTCGATCTCAATATCACCAGCCGATGTGTGGAGAATGACCTTCAAAAGTTTTCCTGCACTTAATTCAACAATTTCTGTAGCCATTGTTCATGACTGAAGTAAGGCAAAATCGTCTTGGTTGATCTTGGCAGAATTGTATTTGAAATTCGATGAGTTGAAATTTTAGTCAATTTTGATTAGAAGAAGTTAGATCTAGACCACAAAAGAAAACTTGAAAGCAGGTATGCAAAAGCTCAACAACTCACGCAGAGAACGAATAATTCACAATCAATTGGCACCAAATCCTAATCGCAAGTTGTACACGAACTACTAAAATGCAAGTTGTGGTGGAGGCCATTTTATGAAATCCCGTGAATCCGTTGAAACGAAGGTATCCATCTGGAAGACTCGAAGGAACGCCAGAAAACATAGTGTACGAATCATATGGATCGACTTTGCCCTATGGGGATTCCGGAAATTTGTAGGTTATCCTGATCGCTCTCATTCTTCTTGTCGAATCCTCAGTTCGATATCGAGTCTCCAGTCTCACGAAATCTCGTAACGTGTGTGAACCCCACCTGAAGAGGATCCTGGCGCAAGAGGGCTAGACTTAAGCTTGAGGATCAAGCTTTGCCAGAAGAAAATCAGACAAATCTAGGTGCTTACGTTTCAAGAAAAAGGACTAGCCATTTCGAAAACTGTACAAGGAATCATGATAATCGAATGTTTTTTTTTCCTCTAAAATCAAACAAATCGAATCATCAAAACATTTTCCGCTAAAAATTGAAGTCACAGAACAGGCCTCAAGCGAGCATACGATCCCTAAGAAAATTTTCTAACCGTTTGTCAACTTTTTTCCTGCTCCTACTAATATGTATTACACACACTACTTTACCATACCACATTCATTTAATGACAATGACATCATGAACTTGAGCGAGAACTGCCTCTTGGAGAAACTCACCTTTCCAGTGGTCACCGGTTCGTTGATGTACTGCGAACTCATTACCGATCGGAAAAGTAGAAAGATTGCGAGAGAATTAGGGCTGCTTCTTCAAAGGTAAACGCTCGGATTGATACGGAAAAACATGTATGCAAACAAAAATTGAAATGTTTATTACATGCAAAGAGATGCACATCAATACATAACCGAATTAAGAGACAAACACTACAAGTAACCTCTCTATGTTCACCTGGCTAAGGTAATTAGAGATAACGAGCATAACGCTTAAGACTAGGCAAGCTCTACCGGGATCAATACTGGGATAAGAACTCCTAAAAGTGAGACGAATTCATTTACGAGCATTGATGATCTTAACGAAATCGGGCTTGAGCGAAGCACCTCCGACCAAAAAGCCATCTATGTCAGGCTTCTTTCCCAATTCTACGCAGTTGTCGGCAGTAACGGAACCTGGAATAGAGATGGGGTATTCAGCAAGCATTACAACTTATTGTTCCTTTCACTTATTCCTGCTGATAACAAACGGTTGTCCTAAAAGCGAGAAAGCCCAAGAAGCTATAAACTGCTGAAGCATTAAATTACCTCCATAAATAATGCGGGTCTTCGCTGCGACATCAGCAGAAACCTTGTCTTTTAGAAACTCACGAATCCAAAGATGGACCTACAAATTCAATTTGTACAGATACGCCGACACTAATGCTGCAAAATGATATGACGAATCAACATACCTCCTGGGCCTGATCAGGAGTTGCAGTTTTTCCGGTGCCGATAGCCCACACTGGCTCATAAGCAATAACGATATTTGTCCAGTCAACCTTCTTGTCAACTAAAGCTTGCATTTGGCGGAAGTTCACCTGGAAAAAATCGAATATACTTTAGGCGTATGAATATAGGGCCCTGATAGAAAGATACAACTCACCTCTTTCGTTTTACCTGCTTCTCTTTCCTCTAGCTTTTCGCCAATGCAAAAGATGACGTTAACATGTGCTTCGAGAGCATGGACACACTTTTCAGCAATAAGCTAAACAGAGCGATATACAAGCAAGAACTTGGTTGTTTCAGAAACTGCTTAAAAAGGAAACTTCCTCGAGCAAATTTTCAAAAAAAAAATCAAAGAAAATGATAAAGGATGAACTATTCGACGTTGATCGACTCAACTGTCACGCGCCACGTATTCTACTTACATTCAAAATCGTAGTGGTATATGAATGTAACTTGGCAGTGAGTGGCGAAATCAGAAATCGATGATGAACGATGACGGTTCGGATGCAGGGTGAAAATCGCTTGAGGAAACGATAACGGCTCGTCGAGGATTTCTTTCACGCTCTCCCACGCGGATGCTCACTCTCGCCACCCGCGAGCCGTCTGTGCTCTCCGCGCATGCATTCACTCTCACACTACTCTCACACAGTAGAGAGCCATGGTCGAGAAGTTCCTCGACCGTTATTCACCCTGTTCGGATGGCATCACGCAAATGAAGATCTCGAAGCCAGTTCAAGAATCAGAAAGTTGAAGTCCTGCTGAGTTACGTAATTGTGTCCTACATGTTAAAGGAGATAGAGGGTCATAAACAAGTTCGGAGGAGCATAACCGTGTGGCCAGTGTTCCGAGAAGCAACACTTGAGAGTCATAGGATGAGACCCGAAGGACACTTTACTTTCTAGAGATTGGTAAAAGAACTGATTTTTGTAATGAATTCCCTTCCCCTATATAAATAAGGAATAGGGCTGAACAAGGATAAATAGATTAAAAGTACAATGAGTGAAGCAAACCTGATCTGACTCTCCAAAAATGTGACGCCTTTCTGAGTGCCCTAGAATCACCCATTCAACATCCAAATCTTTGAGCATGGCAGGAGAGATTTCACCCGTAAACGCTCCTTTTGGTACCTTAAGGGATCAAAATAGAGAAAAAAACTTCCTAAAGTATGGAGCCCATAACACACGATCACAGTAAGATGCTAAAGGATCTCCAAAGCACTACTATTCACATATTAAAAATGTACCTTATAGCAATTCTGTGCTGAGACCTTGATAGAACCTTTGAGTTGGCTCTTTACATATGCGATGTAAGGAGCCGGTGGTGCAACAATAACGTCAACATCAGCTGCTTCTGAAATGACTCGACTCTTCACATCGCACCGTCGCTGTCAATAGTGGGTGGTGTGGAAGTGTTAGTCCACGTGGCTGGGGTGCGTTCTAGAGCAATTACAGAAACGCTGACCACGACCAGGAAGTTTATGGAAAAATTCGGGCAGAACGCTTTTAGTGGTGGTGGTAATTACTGCTAAAAAATGATGGAGGATCCACAAAACTTACAAGGGCAGAGACAGGTTCACTCCCCGTGATGATTTGTACTCATTCTATGTTGAAGACACAAGCAAAAAAAAACCGAAATCTCATTGTGATCAACAATGCATACGCGACGCCAAAAATACAAAATAAACGGGCATTGCTCTCATGTTTACAGAACATGGCTGAGTCGTTACTCCTATTGGTTAAACCAAAACAAGGCTCAAAAGAATCGACTAGACCGTATAATCCAGTGGTAGATTATTGTGCTCCTTGATGCATAAATTTAATCGCGTGTGGTAAGCTGGGACAGAATACTAAGGCGGCTAGATGTCATCGCGCTTTCTTTGGTGAATAGGCATTACATAGAATAGCTGTGGAAAAGTACCCAGAACTTCAGTTGACATAAGTCCCTATAAAATAGGATTCCACGAAGATCGAAACGCTGGAAAATTACCAAGTGGGGGTTGGGAATGATGTTACATTCCCAACAAAGGATGTGCCCCTGGCGACCTAGCATGACCGTCCCCGCGGCGCTATCGGCGCGGTACGCCCACCGATTGGCTAACCACCTGCTGCAGGGTTGTGATCGTTTGACAAAGAAAGAGAGAGCGTTAGCGTTGAAGAGGGCAGCACTGATGAGAGTCGCATCAATGCAAGAAATCAACGGGCAAAAAGGGTCTCCATTTCTCGGGTTCTGGGCCGTTTCTCATGGTTTTTTCTTTATCCCGGCAGCCACTGACCACCTCCACGTTGGTTCTAATGGGTTGCTTTTTGATCGTAGATTCCGCCTCTCAAGTGTTAACGCAGCAACTATCAAAAACCCGGTCAGCGCAACCTGTTGGTTGGATGCCATTATAGAAAAAAGGTTTGGATAATAGCAATTGCAAATGGAAAGGAACAGTGTATTATACATATGATTCCTTTTTGCAAGAACAATATCATGAGAAAATAATCAAATCTGAGAAGAAAGTAGAACACTTACCCCCGCTCTGATTGAGAAACGCGCAAATCCCATCAATGGCCTTTTTGTCGCCATTCATCTTCCAGTTACCTCCGACGAAAAATTTGCGCGTCATATTCTGTAAAATGAGTAAACTTTACTGATGTTCAGAAAAATGATGAATGGTGAAAGTGCTCGGCCAACAATGGAGACAACGTGAACAGGACTGGAAGAGATGGTTCAGAGCCGACTTGCGTGAAAGGCGAAATTTGCGAGTACAAGTCTGACACAGGTGATACAGGTGATTTGTTTGTGGCAGCGGTATCGCTAGCCTGACGGCAAGCGGTCTCCCATAACATGTGTACAGAAAACAAGCGCTATGAAAAAGGAGACAGAGAGAACCGTCATCGAGGTCGGGCACTTGTTTACAGCATACCTATCCTTTAAAGTGACATTCACAAGTGATGAGAAGCATAAGCGGTGTAAAACATACAATTAACCACCAATCTATCCTACGTCTCTGTTAGAACTGAACCAAAGAGCCGTCGCTCCCTGATAAAAGAAAAGATAAAAAAGTACACACAAGGAAGCTTTACGCAAACAGGTTGTGGGAATGAGTTTCTGACTCTCTACAGTAAATTTCTACAAAGCAGCTCTTCTCCCACAAATCAATCCCATTTCCACTAAGCTGTCATAATTGAGGTGGAGATGTTTTCCATGCACAAGCCGTCTTGTGACCGTTCAAGCCGTGGCTAAGGCACGTTAGATGCTACATATATAATTGAAAGACCGAAAAGTAATCTGGTCTCAAATAATAGCAATGTCTCGAGATTCTCCACAAGCTACCAAGTTTTTTGTGCACGCCGAAATCCATGTAAGCCTTGAGACCAGTTGAAGCTATTGCGATGGGTGTGGGATGGAGAGATTGGACGTATAGAATCTAGGGTTTACGGACTACTTGAACTTTCTTCCATGGTCCTGCCACGAATGGCGGAGGGCACAGACAGTTAGAGAACGGCGCCTGGCTCGGCTCCAAATCCCAGGGAAGGAGGCCCTAGGACTAAGCCTTGTAGGAGGGAGGGACTTCGAGGTGGGTGAGCCAACTACAGTGTGGCAAAAGTT